TCTGGGGATAATATAGAGCAGAAGGAGAAAGAACTGTTCAAAGAGGAAGGAGAGAGAACTTCACTGGAATGTACCTTCAGCACGAGCAGCACTAGCTATTATGTCTACTGGTACCGTCAGTATCCGGGAACAGCACCTGAGTTCATACTGCGCAGCGGGTCAAGCAGCTACACTGCAGAGTTTGCAAAACAGAGATTCTCCTCTAATGCTGATAGATCATCAGGAAAAGCCCCTTTATCCATTTCAAATGTCCAGCTAGGAGACAGTGCTGTCTATTACTGTGCTCTGCAGACCACAGTGATGAATTAATGCTAGAGCTCATACAAAAACCTGCTTCACCTGCTTACACACAATTTACTTTAATGGGGTAACTGAAAAACACTGAGGTTTACCGCAACAGGAAATAATGTTGGCAGGTTGTGTACATATTTCCTGGCTCCAGTCCAGCCTGTTGGATAGCAGTGAAGATAATTCATGATTCATTATTCATAATATAGCAGTATTCGAGAACCACCTGAAACATTAATGTAACAGAATAAGAGACTTGTTATCAACGTTCCTTTTATAAATCCATAATGTTAATCCAGTCTAGGGTCCGGCTGTAACACACAGGAGAGGAGACAATGTATGACTAGACAATAGAAATATTTATTTGTGCATTGTTGAGTTGCCAAGGTGGAACAATGGGTAGCACTGGTTGAAGTCTTGACCATGGCTCCATGTGGAGTTTGTTTGGATTTTCTGCCTGTGTTGTCATGGCGATTCCTCTAGATGAATTGCTAAGGTTAATTAGAATGACCAAATTGCCCATAGGTGTGAATGGTGTGTGAATGTGGGGTTGGCGCCCCATCTTGGGTTGTTCCCTGCCTTGTGCCCGTAGCCTCCGGGATAGATGACCCTGAATAGGACAAGGGGGTACAGAAAATGGATGGATGGATGGATAGATGATGTGTTGTTGAGAACTTGGTTTCTCATTATTTCAAGAGAGTAAGTCATTATTTCTAGATACAAAGTAATTATTTTGAGGAAGTTTCTTGTTTATATATATGATGGAGGATCAGTGTCACTCAGCTGCAATTACACAACTAGTAGAGAAAACCGATAATAAAAGAAACGACTAAACAGACACTAAAATGATCTAACAGGTCACCGGGTCTGTAGGTGCGAGAAAATCAAAAATATCTTTTTGGTACAGACTGCACTCTAATCAGTCACCCAAGAATCTCCTCCATAAAGGTGCCAGGTCATCCAGTAGGAATGAGGACTCCACCCAAGCACCCAATGACACTGCTGGTCAATGAGCTTTTTAACTCAGAATGGCTCATTTGTAAGTATAATTTGGGTTTCAATTTATTACTGCTTCAATGAAAGTTTTCATTAATACTCCTAGTTGTTTCTAAATGTGATGTATTTTTTTTTATAAATGAATTAATAAGGTAACGTTTTTTCTTATAAAACCAATACATTTGCAAAATTTGTATTGAATTAAAGAGTAAAAACAAAGACTCTCTGTATCATTATTGTTTTTATTACATTTTCAATTCAGCAATAGAATAACATTCTTGATTGTCATTATCCTTAATCAAGCACCACAGTTTTTACTGTATAAAGGTGCCAGCCTACAGTATGTGATGGTCAGGAGCACAATCCAGATAAACAAGGCAGACATTCTACATACGGGAAAGTAACCAAGTTCATACTGACAGTCTTAGATTACCAAGCTCAGCTACAGTATCTCTTTTTTAAATTTCAACAACAGAGGGAGCTGTTGAGCTAAAAACTTAATGAATTAAT